TCAGCCAAATTACACACCCACACAATACTTCCATGACGAAGATTTTCCACCCACTCCTGGCTCTGATTGCGTCTGCCACAGACAAAGAATTGGCCAAGTATGTGCAGTTTCTGAAGGAGGAGAACAAGATTCTCCGCTCACGCGTGGATGGACAAATTCACACGAAGCCCGAGGAACGGGAACGATTGCTCGATCTCGGAAAGGAGTTGGGACGAGCCATTGAGGAACTCATCACCATTGTTTCTCCCAAGACGTTCTACCGTTGGATCAGGGAGCGTGACGGGCGGAAACGCAAACCGAATCCCAAGGGTGGACAAAGGAAGCCGCGAGAGATTCGTGAGCTAGTCATTCAGATAGCCACAACCACAAATTTTGGGTACACCCGCATACTTGGCGAGCTCCGAAAATTGGGCATTAAGAAGATCAGCCGGCAAACCATTCGCAACATACTTAAGGAAGAAGGCATTGCTCCTGGGCCAGATCGCACGAGTGATTCCTGGACCAATTTTGTGGAGCGTCACAAGGAGACTCTCTGGGCTTGTGATTTCTTCAGCGTGAAGACTGTGACGACTCGTGGCATGCGGGATCTCTATGTTCTGGTCTGGCTGTGTGTGAGCAGCCGCGAAGTGATCGTCTCCACCTCGACCGAGCATCCGAATTCATCCTGGGTGACTGAGCAGGCGGAGCGGTTCTTGGGTGAGACATCTGGTCGGGAGCACTCCCCTGCTCTGGTCATGCATGACCGTGACACGAAATTCACCAAGGAGTTCACAGAAGCGTTGGCTCGCCAAGGTGTCGGAACAAATCCATTGCCGAAGGCCAGTCCGAATCTGAACGGCAGATGCGAGAGGTTCATCGAAACCATTAAACTGGAGTGCCTTCAGAAATTCATTGTGTTTGGAAAGAGACATCTGGATCATCTCGTGGGCGAGTTTGTGGATTACTACAACCATCATCGCAGCCACATGGAAAGGAATCATCTGCCGCCGGTGAGAGAGGAGCCTGATGAGGTAGAGACGATTCCGTTAGATGAGATCCAGGTGAAGACGTATGTGGGTGGGCTTGTGAAGGCGTTTGAGAGGAAGGTGGCGTAGTTGCTCGTCGAATTGGGGGCCTTCTATGGCCACCAACTGGACCGCCGCACACGACTTTGCCCCCCGAAATTCAGTTGCTGAGTTTTCAAGACAAATTCGTGAGCAAAACGCCAATCGCGGCAAAGACTTACCCTTGAAAACATCTGTTGGACAGGAGGAGTGAGGTCGGTAACGGAAGCTGTTGAAGGTACACTTCAATCTATGGAATCCTTCCGATCCTGTTGCATCCATGCTTGTTGCGAATGTAAGAACGCTCTTTTCAATTTCCACGGAGCCTCGAATGAAAGCAGTTTCACGACGCGAACTTCCGGTTGGTCCGGTTTCTCTTCTCCTCATTCTCCTGCTGTCGGGAGTCGTCACCGGCCGTGTCCGGGCTTCGGACCTTGAAAGCACGGTGCAGACGGCCCGCGACTACCTCCAAACCGAGGATCCGAAGGAACGGGCTCGGCTCGCGGAGGAACTGGAGGCATTCGACGGGGACCGGGCCCAACTCATGGATGCGCTTCGTCCACGCCCGTCGATGACCGTGTCTCCGGGCTACTATCCTGAGGAGCATTTTTCCGATCCCGTCCTGCGGAAGAAACATCCCGACGACCTGCTCTATTTCCAGGTGCCCTCCCGGTACGATTCCGCGCGGCCGAACGGCCTGGTCGTTTTCATGCACGGGGGCGGTAAAGGCAGCCCGCGCACTGCCCCGGATCGCTACATGCAGGTGGCAGACGCGGACACGCCGCAGTCAACAACCCGGCTTGGGGAACTGTTCGAGGACAGCGGCCTGATCGGCGTTGCTCCCTCGGCCCCCTGGAACGAGGACGACCACTCGCGCTGGTGCCTTCCCGAGGCCGATGAATATCTCGCGGACGTGATCCGCGAGTGCAAGAGACGGTTCGCCATCGACGACAACCGCGTCTTCCTGATGGGGCACTCGATGGGCGGGTTCGGCGCCTACCACCAGGTGCAGCGGCAGCCGGATCGGTTCGCGGCGGTGATCGGAAGCGCCGGCATGTGGTCGCTGGCGCACTGGCCCGTGATCCGGGGCACCACGCTCTTCCTCGTGCAGGGTGTCCGCGACGCGGAATACGGGGTGCGGGACCGGCACACCGACATCGCCTTCCCCCGCCTCGCCCACCGGCTCCTCAAGGAACAGGGTATTCCCCATGTCTTTCGCGAGCACCCTGACGGGCACGCGTTCGGTTACGCGAAATCGCGGGTCCGGGAGTTCCTCTTGGCCTCCGGAGACCTCCGCAGGGATCCCGCCTTTCCCCACATCGTCCTCGCCTCCCCAGTCGGCTACAAGACCTCCAAGTGCTATCCGGTCCGACACAATCGCTGGGTGACGCTGGAGGCGGAACGCGAGGGACTCCTGGACTACGACGCTCTCCAAGGATCCGCTGGAGGCGATAGCGAGGGACCGAGAGAGGAGTGGGATCGCTGGAAGCTGACGCACGAGGTCGTGCAACGGAACGGGGCGAGGATCGAGGCGATCGACGAGGGCGACAATCGCTTTCGCGTCACGACGGCGAACGTGGCCCGCTTCAGCCTCTGGCTGAGCGAGGACATGGTCGATTTCGCGGAGCCCATCCACGTCACCGTCGATGGCGAGCCCCGCTTCTCCGGTCGTGTCCGCCCCTCAGTCGCGACCCTGCTCGACTCCTACCAGCGTCGCGGCGACTGGGGCCTGGTCTATCCGGCGCGGGTGAGGATCGAGCTGGCGGAGTGAGGCGCTGATGAGACGAGAGGATCATCTTGAGGGCCACTGCTCGGTTGAGCGAAAGCTGTTGCGCTCGATACACGACCCCCTCCGGTTCCGTAGACAGACACCTATTTCCTTACGCTTTGCTGATGCTTACCTGGCCCCGGTTTCTCCGGGACTTGGAAAAATCTGTTGAACAGGAGGCTCTCGTTCAGACTTTACAATTCACCCGATTGCAGATCACGAAGTCGCCTCAACAGTGACAAACTTCTCGTTATCGATCTCCCGTTCACCATCCCAACGGTAGGCACACAGACTCCCCCCTTTGGCCACACTGTAATCAACGCAGGCGACGTTTGCCGCAAGCCGCGAAGGCTGCTCAGCGCGTAACCAGTAGTGACCGAAGAACACAGGATCAGCATCTTCAGGGTATGGGGTAATCGGCCCGATCGCGTCATCAGACAAAGCAGCCGCCGGCAGACCCGCATCACTCATCAGAGCGTAGCTCGCGATGGTCTCGTCGACAGGCTCGCGGTACCACTGGATACGCAGCGAGAACTGGGAGTGACCATCCTTATCAAGAAACGACATTCCCTCCGGGAGTTCCACTTCCTTACCTTTGAGCACATCGTCAATCGCCAGATAAAGATCCGAGCCTCGTCGTGTCGCCTCGGCTAGAAAATCAGTGGAGACACCTCCGTACTCCCGTTGTGCTGCTTGAATCACCGCCATGTACGATGGCTCCCAGCAGGCGTGAACGACGCGAACACCCTCCAGCTCCAGCCACATGGGTAGGGTTCGGAACCACTCCAGGTAATCGCCGAGTTCTCCAGGCGAGAGTTGGCTTAGAGTTTCGGAGTGTTGCTTCTCGTTCTTGTCAGAGTGTTCCCGCAGGAATTCGTCGGGAGCATTAGGATTGCGAGTGTGAAACGCTAACGCATTGAATTCATGATTGCCCATCACCGCCAGCGCAGCGCTGGATTCGCACATGGGACGGACAATGGAGAGCACCTCTCGAATCTGCGGTCCCCGATCGATGAAGTCGCCAACGAAGACAGCGGTACGTTCCGAGTGTCGGTAAGTGGTTCCGTGACGGTTGTAGCCAAGCGTTTCGAGCAGCTTGGCCAGCTCGTCAGCATGTCCGTGGATATCCCCAATGATGTCGTACATTCGCTACCGCTTATGTTTCCTGAAAGATTCAGCCCCAATACAGCTCAGCATCATCAATCAAGGGAACGGATCGGAATGCCAGCTATACGGAATCTCCTGATCGTCGAGCCATTGCTTGACGTCAAAGTAACTGGAGAAGCGAGCTTTCATTTCCGTGAGAAGTTGCTCATGCGCATCCGCCGATTCCTCTGTGCCCAGCTCCAACGAATTCTGAAGGCGAACGCGTCCTGAAGGCCCGACGGTGACGACATAGAAAACTTCGCCTCCCAGACTTTGCTCCGCCTCATCGCTGAAGTCGTAGTAACTGACCTCCAGTGAGCCGTCCTCGCCAATCTCGACACGGGAAGAAGTCTGCTTGGGGCCACCCTCAAGCTTCACCGATTTTGATTGTTCCTCGGACATGTTGACCCTTTCTTCTCACGCTCAAACTTGCAGAGCAAGACACGATAACGAACACGGTGGGCTAAGCACTCAGTTGATTCTACGGCAACACGAATACCACCTCCAGTCTTTTGACGGTGAGAGCACGTCCTCAACTACGTCGATCCGGAACGTCATGGGAACGCAATCAGTTGCAAAGCACGCCGCAGCATGTAATACCTCATCGAGACAGTTTGTTTACATTGAGGGATGTTTACCTCAACATCATTGCGCTGAGAGGGTTTTGAGCATGCTGGGTGCCATCGCTGGAGATGTCATTGGATCGGTCTATGAAGGAGCTGGTAACAAGATCAAAGACTTTGAGCTGTTTGGTCCCTACAACCGCTTTACCGATGACACAGTCTTGACGGTCGCAGTAGCCGATTCGATTCTCCACGAGGCCAGCCTCGTCGACACGCTCCATGAATACTTTGAGCTCTATCCGCAGGCCGGTTATGGCGGATCGTTCATCAGGTGGGCCATGCAACGGCAGCGCTCACCCTACAACAGCTGGGGTAATGGTTCCGCCATGCGGGTCAGCCCGGTCGCTTACGCTTACGACTCGATCGAATCCGTTCTCCATCACGCCAAACGCACTGCCGATGTCACACACAACCACCCAGAGGGTGTTCGAGGATCGCAGGCAACAGCCTTGGCGATCTATTTGGCTCGGACGGGTTCCAAAAAGGAACAGATCCAGAGGGAAATCACCGAACGGTTTGGGTACGATCTCTCTACAACCCTCGAATCGATCCGTGATGTCTATGAGTTCGACGTGTCGTGCCAGGGATCAGTTCCTCAGTCCATTCGCTGCTTCCTTGAAGGAACTGATTACGAAGACACGATTCGCAACGCGATTTCATTGGGGGGTGATGCCGATACGATGGCCTGCATTGCGGGTGGGATCGCAGAGGCTTACTGGGAACTCCCAGAACACATTGCCCAAACCACATGGGGTCTGCTTGACGACCATCTGCGAAGTGTGATCAAGCAGTTCCAGGAAAAATTCGTCCACAATCACACATTTGTCCGACGATCCATGGGCTGCGTGGATCGGCAACGTGGCTGCCTGTTGGGATTGGCGGTAGGAGATGCCCTCGGAGCTGCCGTCGAGTTTCAGACACCGGGCTCCTTCATTCCTGTGACAGACTATCGTGCTGGTGGGCCGCATGGACTGGGACCTGGTGAATGGACTGATGACACCAGCATGGCATTGGCCCTGGCTGACAGCATCCACCAAGCTGGCTGGGACTTGAATGACCAGGCCCGCAGGTATGTGAGCTGGTGGCGGGACGGACAGTATTCCGTGAATGACGTCTGTTTTGACATTGGCAACGCAACACGCGCGGCTCTCTACGAGTTCGAGCGAAATGGAGATGCCAGGGCTTCAGGAAACCCTTCTCCCCAAGCTGCCGGTAACGGCTCGATCATGCGGTTAGCCCCGGTGCCGATTCATTTCCTGGAGTTATTCCCCGAGAGACTGGAAGAACTTGCCGAACGCGCAGCCGAATCGAGCCTGCCAACTCATGCCAGCCCTCAATGCCTTTCCGCCTGCCGGTACTTTGCTCTGATCCTCGCAGGACTCATGAAGGGGCTCGACCGTGACGAGGTGCTGGCACCTGACTGGGAACATCTTGAGCAGCTCAGAAACATAGCTCCCCTGCACCCGGAAGTGGACGAGGTCGCCGCAGGCAGCTTTAGAAAGTTACAGCCACCAGAGATTCGTGGCAGCGGTTATGTCGTCAAAAGTCTGGAAGCAGCTTTGTGGGCGTTTCACGACGCTTCGGATTTTCGTGAGGCTGTCCTGAAAGCGGTCAACCTCGGAGATGATACGGACACCACGGGAGCGGTTTGTGGGCAACTGGCGGGAGCCTACTGGGGTGAGTCTGGTATTCCTCAGAACTGGTTGCAGCGGCTCGCGCGACAAGACATGCTGGAACGGGCACTCGACGATATTGTGGCACGAGCTTAGTGCGGCATCAACGTGATGACTGTTCACGCAGCACGCTGCGAAGCTCCAGTGAAAAGTCGGTCAGGATGGCGTTGATACCCGCTTCTTGGCATGCCTTCCAGTTCTCGGGCACATGACCACTGACAGTTGGTCCTGCAATGAAAGCTTTCTTGCCAGCAGCATGAACCGCTTCCAATTGCTTCCCTGTTGGGAGAAACCGAAAGTACACCCAATTTGCCGTGGGATCAGCCAAAGCTTTCTCAAATTCCTCGGCGTCATTGGCAACCGCAGCTGTATGAGCGTTCTTCGCTGCTCGTGTTATTACAACCCGAACATCCGCACTGGTGATCGTTCTTCCAATAAACAGCAGACTGTCCAACACATTGTGCTTCTGAGCCAACCGGACAACCTGCTCCTCAACACCCTCTGCTTTGAGATCGACGGCGATCAACGCATCGGCCTGTTTGCTGGCGACCAACTGCAAGACTTCCTCCACAGTGGGAATCTTTTCACCAGCAAACTTGGGATCGAACCAGCTTCCCGCGTCCAGCTGACGTAGCTGGTCCAAACTCAAGTCCGAAACATGTCCTTGTCCGTCCGTTGTTCGATCCAACGTGCTGTCATGAATACACACCAAGTGGCCATCCCGAGATTTTTCGACATCGAACTCGAAACCGATCTGGAGTTCGAGGCAGGCTCGGAAGTTGGCCAACGTGTTCTCTGGGGCATGACGGAGCAGACCTCTGTGGGCCACGATCAGTGGTTCACCTGCAATGACAGCCATCGACATCATCAAACCAAGTGTGATGGTCATGGCAACAGCTTTCATGCTTCACCTTCTCAAAGCCATGTGAGCCAATCAAAACAAAAGAAGCCGCTGAAGTGGGCAAACTCCAGCGGCTGAGGGCATTGGCGGTAGGGCAAGAACCGCCAATTCTGAAATTAACAACTCGTCATTCCGGTATCAACGTATCATGCTGTATCCACGATCTGCCGGTACGTCAGGCTGGTTAGCTGTCGACTATTTCACTTTCGATCAGTTACTGAGTTCTGGTCCATTCAACTTTGCAATCGGGAAGTGCGTCCTTGAGTGCGGCGATACCTTGCTCAGTCACATCGTTGCTGAATATCAAAACCCGTTCTAACGATTTGACTCTTTGCAGATGAGATAACCCTGCATCTGTGATGCCGCTAGCTGAAATATTCAAATGCCTCAGTCCTTTGACGTTTTCCAGAAGCGCCACTTGACCATCCTTAAAATCTCCTGGGAGGCGGATCGCGGCAATGTCCTTAATGTTGTAAAGCCGTTTGATGTCGTCGTCGGACATCTGTTCCGCAGACACCAGATCGACGAATAGGCCGCCAAGTGACTCTTCATTTTGAAATGCTACGCCGAGAGCCTCTAACGCCGTCCGGTCGGCACTTACATCGACCGCACTTTTTGTTTCAGCGAGTTCCGTTGGATTATCGGTTGGCGAAATGGCCGAGTCTGAAATAGGTGCAGCCTCATCGTCAACGGGTGGTTTCGTCGCCCCACATCCAGCGAAAATCGTCGTCAAAAAGACAATAGCTAACTGAAACCATCCGCGCATCGTTGCCTCCTGATTCTCCGAATTCAATCACGCTTACAGCTAACTTGGTTAGCTCTCAACCATTGGCATGGAAAATACTCGAGAAGGGAATGGCGGTCAATCTTCGGTGTGGCAAGGAGATGCATCGAATCCTATGCGCGAATTGACCGAGCAAATCTTGCGCGGCAAACTGTGGGGATGAAACTCCTCGAACGGTATCGGGCTGCCTGCGGAATCAGAAATAAAGTGGCTGTACTAACACTCAATACACACGGAAGGAAGCGTCGAAATGCTCACACGAACGATGCTATCACTCCTAATCATGGGAATGCTCTCCGCCGCCGATGATTCGACTCGGATGCTGTTCGACTTCAACGACGACAATGCTGCCCAACAATGGCAAACTGTCAATGATGGTGTCATGGGTGGCCGCTCCGAGGGCCGCTTCAACATCACTGACAGCAAGACGATGCAGTTCTTCGGCAACTTATCGTTGGAGAATAACGGGGGCTTTGGTTCGGCACGAACCCGGCCCACGAAGCTCAATCTCGCAGACGGAGATGAGTTGATCCTGGGAGTTCGTGGAGATGGACGGCAATACTCTCTGAATTTGCATGTCCCTCGAAGATTGGTCGCATTCTCGTACCGCGCATCGTTTCGGACAGAAAAGGACAAGTGGCTACAAGTCAAAGTACCGCTCGAAGATTTCGTCGCCACGTCTTTCGGTCGAGTTGTCCCCAATCAGCCTCTCGATCCCACGGAAGTGAATGCTCTCGGCATTCTGTTGGGGGACAAAAAGTCGGGACCTTTCAACCTGGAAGTCGATTGGATCAAAGTCAGCAAAGGCCGGAACGACACGGAAGCTAACAACTCTTGATGCTGCGCCTATACTCAGGTTGTCGCGCACATTATGCGAACGTCCATCAGGCATGCACTATGAATCACCGACTCATGCTCACTCAGATTGTCTTGGCCTTGTGGGGCCTCGTGGCACGCGCTGACGACTGGCCACGTTTTCGCGGCCTAGCTGGGGCTGGGATCGCCACTGATTCCGAGTCTCTACCCAGCGAGTGGTCGCCACCGACACTCGTCCAGATCAATGAGGATCGCACCGATCTTGTGATGCTGGTCGCTAAGGAACTGTGGGGCCTCGATCCCAAAACCGGAAGGTTACGCTGGTTCGCTGATGCAACCAGCTCTGGGCAGGCTTACACAAGTGTGATCGCACAAGGTAACCGGGTATTTGGTTTTTCTGGTGCAGGGGCGGGAAGCGTCGCGTTGGACATCGGAGTAAGCGAAACAAATCTTGCTTGGACCAGTCAGGCGAGTGCGACGTATGGAACGCCGGTCCGACATCAATCAAAACTTTACGTCATTTCGCGTGGCATCTTGACAGTCTTGGATGCGAACACGGGGAAACGACTGGAACAAATCCGCTTGAAGAACTTTAAGGAGACTGGAAACTCTCGTTTCGGTTCACTGGACTACGCCTCACCCATTGTTGTGGGAGATCGACTGTTTTACTTGAACGCTGGCGGGCAGATGTACGTGTTTCAGTTGGGCGAGAAAACCCAGTTATTGACAGTCAATGCAGTGACGACCGAAAATGAAACGTTTTGGGGAACGCCGGCAGTCAGTTCTGGGCGAATGGTCGTTCGGAGTTCCAAGCACTTGTATTGCATTGCAAATGATTCAGTATCAGCAAACACAGGTGGCGATCAGCGAATCGCCGTTGCATCAGACGCGCTGACGACTGATCACAAAGACCTTCCTCGACGTAACAGCACGGAAGATCAATTTCGCAAAGATGCCGCGAATGCCGTCCGTGAAGATGCTCCATCTTCACTGGAGGGTAGGCCGGAACGTCCCCGGAGGCCCATGCCGGTTAAAGACTGAACATCATTCAAAAAGCGAAATTTCGTTGCGAGGTTGTCGAGACCAAACCATCGACAAGACAGGAAGTATCACGCCGGCTCCACGATCTGCCGGAACGTCAGGTTGATTCGCTCGCCAACCGCTTGCTTAGTCTTGGGGATCTCGTGCTTCCAGAACTGCTGCATTGTCCCGGCCATGCTCAGCAGCGAACCGTGACCAAGCGGGAAGTTCATGGCTTCCTTAGTCTTGTTATGCTTGATGCGGAAGGTTCGGGTCGCCCCGAGCGATAGGGAGCCAATCACGTTTCCCATTTCAGGCTCATTATCAGCATGCATCCCCATGCTGTCTTGACCGGAACGGTAACGGTTGAGCAGACAGTAATTGTATTGGCCCTGGATGGCTTCAATCTTTCCCTTGATCTCCAGCAGTGTCGGTGTCCATGGCAGTGCCACATTGACCGTACCGGAGTATCGATACGTCACACCCTCATCTCCGTAAGAAGCTGTCAGCCGAGGTTGCATGTGTCCGAAGATACCGGGCTTCTGCTCCCAGACGCACTCATCCCTGATCGTGACAAAGTATCGATCTGCCAGTTCAGCGGGCAGAAAGTACTCGTCGTGGAGAAGGAGGCCGCCATCTCTCAGTTCGATGGTCTGCATTATCACACCCGCCCTTTCTCCTGATCGATTCCCATCCCGCTAATCCGCAAACTGGGACACTCCTACGGTTGCGTAGACGCGCCCCGACGTTCAAGCGGCAATTTGCTGAGAGGGGACAATCATAGCGTTCTGTTCGCTCGTTGCAGTATCCTCATGATCAAACAGCGCCCTCCAATTCCGGTGATTCCCTGATCATGCCCTCGCGTGACGACATCTTGGCAGCTTTCGATCGCATTAACGTGTGGTCGCGTGGCTCGGAGCGGGCACCACACAAGCCGTTGCTGGTGCTTTACGCGCTGGGCCAGTTGTCACGCGGAGGCCCGAACTCAATCGCGTTTCGGGAGTTGGCTCCGAAACTGGCCGAGCTACTTAAGGAGTTCGGGCCGACGCGGCAGTACTATC